CTTCTCACAATGCAAGTCTTCCTGCCCATTTACACAGCAGATTTCGGGCAATTTTATCCCCCTTTTTCCAGTGAGCATTTCTTCTCAAAATCATTTTCAGCCAAACTTCCACTCAAAGTTTCCTTCACCCCGCAAAGTGTTCAGAACAGTTGTTGGTGGGTTATCATAAACAGTTTATTAGCAATTGCAAGATGTTTCAAATTCGAGGACAAATACGATGTATACAGTCAGCATGTGGATCTGCAGACCCGACCCTATGAAAACAAAGCACTTGTGTGACGTTGTTATTGGAAGTAATTGCAACAAAATATACAGCTCAGTCTAGTGTGTAATCTCTCTCTTGCTATATACAGTATATACGTATGTTACAGGTTTAACCCCTTGCCCTCCTGAGGATTTCCCCCCTTCCTGACCAGACCATTTTTGCGATACGGCGCTGCGTTATTTTAACTGACAATTGCGCGGTCATGCAACGCTGTACCCATATGAAATTTACTTCCTTTTCCCACCAATAGAGCTTTCTTTCGGTGGTATATAATCACCTGTGTATTTTTATTTTTTGCACTATAAACAAAAAAAGATCAACAATTTTGAAAAAAAAACAATATTTTGACTTTTTGCTATTAAACGTCCAGTAAAAAAATTAAAAAAAAATCTAATTTCATCATAAATCCGGGCCAAAATATATTCCGCTCCGTGTCTTTGCTAAAACAAAAATCCCAATACGTGTAAATTAATTGGTTTACGTGAAAGTTATAGCGTCTACAAATGGCGGTATAGATACTGGGATTTTTATTTTTCATTTTTTTTTCTACTAGTAATGGCGGTGATCAGCGACTTATATCGGGACTGTGGTTGGCATTCTGGCACTGGGGGGGGGGGGGGGGGGGGGGGGGGGGTGACTAACTGCCACTGACATCCCAATGACACCAATACAGTGATCAGTGCTATTAAAAAGCACGAACACTGTACTGACACTGGGCAGGAAGGGGTTAACATCTGGGGTGATCAAAGGGTTAACTGTGTGCTGTTTTATTGTGTGTAGGCAGCAAGTGAACATGTTGTCCCTGAAGCTGATTTTTGAGCCTGGCTAAGCTACATTTTCACATGTAGATGCAGCTATGTGTATGGGCTTATTGTTTACTATGGAGGCGCTGCATTTAAATGTGCACAAAACGAAACACTTTGCTTTGTGCATCTAAACACAGAATATTTTCTGCCTGTGTGAATAAACCCTTGGGGTAAAAGCAGGTGTCAACATAGTTGCCAAATGCCCTCTGAAGAGCGATCTCCCGCAGATCACTTTTCAGAGGGGCGGCAATGGACACTTCCTAGGTGAATAAGTTCTTAAAGGGGAACTACACTGCAACTGAGCAGCACAAACCAAAATATTTAAAAGCAAATTCCCCCATCCATCCAGGTCTCCATGCTTTATTTTGTTGAGAAATCACTTTGAATAACACCCCTCTAGCATTTTTGGCTACAGCCATCTTAAGTGAGGGCAGATTAATTTACTTCCTGGAATCTGTCTGCCCTTAGCTCAGGCATACAGGCATTAAAAAAAATCAAATTTTGGTCAAAATGTATTCTGCTACATGACAGATAAAACAAAACCCCAATAAATGTATATTGATTGGTTTGCATGGACGTTATAGTGTCTACAAACGATGGTATATATGCTGGAATTTTTATTTTTTATACTACTACTGGTGGTGGTCATTGACTTATAATGGGACTGCGATAGTATGGAGGGAAATCTGACACTAACTGACGCTGGGGGGAACTAACTGCCACTAATACAGTGATCATACTATACACTGTCAATGTACTGATGGCACACTGGCTGGAAAGGGGTTAACATCGATCAAAGGACTAGGGGCCAGTCCACACTACATGCGTTTCCGTTGTTTTTCTGCATCCAAAACGCACAGAAAGTAGGTGATATGGTTGTCAATATCATAGTTCACATCAGTGCTTGCAGTTCCAGTGCGTTCCGGAAGCAGAAAAAAAAAAAGTAGAACAGGCTGCATTTTTCCTGCACAGAACTGTACTGGAATGTGGTAAGATGGATCAAAAATGTGCCGGAATGCACCAAAACGCACGTCTCCATTTAAATTGAAGAAAAAAAGAGGAGGGGAAAATTAACTGGAACGCATAAAAAAACGCACTGGAACGCATTGGAACAAGCCAAAAATGCATCAAAAAGGCGCATGAAGAAACAAATCTGGACTGCGTTTCTATACTGTGAACCGACCCTAGGAGCCAGTGCACACTACATGCGTTTCAGTGTGCATCCAAAACGGTTGTTGATGTCATAGCTCAGATCAGTGCTTGCAGTTCCAGTTGCGGAATAAAAAGAAAGAACAGGCTGCATTTTTCCTGCACAGAACTGTACTGGACCCGGTCAAAAACGCATCAAAAATGTACCAGAATGCATCAAAAACACACTGGAACATGTAAAAAAAAACCAAAAAACTTGCATGCATAAATGCATCTGGAACGCATTCAGACTGCGCACCAGAATGTGTAAAAATCGTGCATGCATAAACGCATCTGGAACGCATCCAGACTGCGTTTCTATACTGTGAACCAACCCTAAGGGCCACTTCACACTCCATGCATTTCAGTTGCTTTTTTGTCTGCATCCAAAACGCACAGAAAGTAGGTGATATGGTTGTCAATGTCATAATTCACACCAGTGCTTGCAGTTCCGGATGCAGGAAAAAAAAAAGTAGAACAGGCTGCATATTTCCTGCACAGAACTGTACTGGAAATTGGTAAGATGGATCAAAAATGTGCTGGAATGCACCAAAACGCACATGTCCCTATTTACATTGAAGAAAAAGGGAAAAAATTAACTGGAACGCATTAAAAATGCACCGGAATGCATTAAAAAAGCCATCAAAAACGCACCGGCACATGCCAAAAATGTGTGCAAAATGCGCATGCAGAAACACATCCGGACTGCGTTTTTATACTGTGAACCGACCCTAAAGGGACAGTTCACACTACATGGGTTTCAGGGTGTTTGTTCTGCATCCAAAAACGCACAGAAAGTAGAACAGGTTGTAAAATAAAAAGTAGAACAGGCTTCATTTTTCCTGCACAGAACTGTACTGGAACCTGTCAAAAACGCATCAAAAAATGCACCGGAACGCACTGGAACACACGTCCCTATTTAAATTGAAAAAAAAGAGAGGGGAAAAACTTAACTGGAAAGCATCAAAAACGCACCGGAACACATCAAAAATGCACCAGAACACATCAAAAATGCACCACACATCAAAAACCGCACCAGAACGTGTAAATATCGTGCATGCATAAACGCATCTGGAATGCATTCAGACTGCGTTTCTATACTGTGAACCGACCCAAGGGCCAGTTCACACTCCATACGTTTCAGTTGCTTTTTTTTTTCATCCAAAACGCACAGAAAGTAGGTGATATGGCCGTCAATGTCATAGTTCACATCAGTGCTTGCAGTTCCAGTGCGTTCCGGATGCAGAATAAAAAGTAGAACAGGCTTTTTTCTGCAAAGAACTTTACTGGAACCCGTCAAAAACGCACTGGAGCGCATTAAAACGCGCATGTCCCTATTTCAACTGAAGAAAAAGAGGGAAACAATCAACTGGAAAGCATCAAAAACGCACCGAAACGCGCCAAAAATGCACATGCAGAAACGCATCTGGACTGCATTTCTATGGTGTGAACCGGCCCTAAATGTGTGCCTATGTGTGCTGCTGTGTCCTAATAGATCTCTGCTTTGCAGGGATGAGAAAGAGAGATTGTTCCCTCTGTACAGAGCTCTGTGTTGACTGTCAACACAGGGCTCTGGGTTGTGATTGGGCACAGCTGTGAACAGGGGCGGACTGACAACTCATGGAGCCCCCGGGCAATAGGGGGATCATGGGGCCCCTGTGTCCTTACCCAAACTCAAAAAAGCCTATGAAAAAGGTACCAGGGGCATCTCATGGGGCCCCCTACTGACCCCGGGCCCTCGAGCAGTGCCCGAGTTTCCAAATGGTCAGTCCGCCCCTGGCTGTGAATCATTGGCCGGGACTTGCTGACAGGCTCCTGCCGTGTACAATCACAGCGGGTGCTGGCGGGAGGGTCGCACATACACGCCCCCAAACCCGGAGGCAGGCAGTGATGTAGGGGTACGTCGCTTTACCTGTGCGGGTCACGCATCTGCAGTACATTCCAGAGGGCGATCTGCACCTGGATAATATATTTTCTGATCGATTTACTAATATTAGACGCCATTTTTTGCGATCCGGCACTGCGTTACTTTAACTGACAATTGCGCGGTCATGCAACGCTGCACACAAATGACATTTCTGTCTTTCCCCCCCCCCCACAAATAGAGCGTTCTTTCAGTGGTATTTGCGCATCTCTGTCTTTATAAACAAAAAAAAGGACGTCAATTTTGAAAAAAAAAAATAAACTTTTTTTGACTTTTTGCTATAAAACATAAAAAGATGTAAAAAAAAAAATCAAATTTCGTCAAAAATTTAGGCCAAATTGTATTCTGCTCCATGTCTTTGCTAACAAAAAACCCAATGCGTGTAAAATAGTTTCCGTGAAGGTTATAGCGTCTACAGATCGCAGCATATATACTTTTCGCTCCATAAGACGCACTTTTTTCCCCCCGAAAATGTCAGTACGTCTTATGGAGCGAATATGGAGCAGCCAATCCGGTATTTCCGCCGTCAACACCGCGTCAGAATACCGGGCCGGCCGCTCGTCTCTTCTCTGCAGCAGTACCTTACCTGTTCCTCGGTCCAGCGCTGTACAGTCCTCCCGCACCGGCATCTTTAGTGTGGGAACCCGGCTGTGACAGCCGGGTGCCCACTGCGCATGCGTGAGAAGCGCTGCGCTTTGTGAATGGTATGGCGTCTTCTGGGACCTGTTGGTGCCCACACTAAAGGGAGGACAACTCCGCGGAAGTGGGAGCGGGTACCTGTCAAATTCAGGTACCCGCTCCCCCTCCCTCCCCAAAGGTCAGCAGTCTCTGGTCATCTCCTGTACTGTGTCCGCAGTCTCTGGTCATCTCCTGTACTGTGTCCGCAGTCTCTGGTCATCTCCTGTACTGTGTCCGCAGTCTCTGGTCATCTCCTGTACTGTGTCCGCAGTCTCTGGTCATCCCCTGTACTGTGTCCGCAGTCTCTGGTCATCCCTGTACTGTCCGCAGTCTCTGGTCATCTCCTGTACTGTGTCCGCAGTCTCTGGTCATCTCCTGCACTGTGTCCGCAGTCTCTGGTCATCTCCTGCACTGTCCCCGCAGTCTCTGGTCATCTCCTGTACTGTGTCCGCAGTCTCTGGTCATCTCCTGTACTATGTCCGCAGTCTCTGGTCATCCCCTGCACTATGTCCGCAGTCTCTGGTCATCTCCTGTACTATGTCCGCAGTCTCTGGACATCTCCTGTACTGTGTCTGCAGTCTCTGGTCATCTCCTGTACTGTGTCTGCAGTCTCTGGTCATCTCCTGTACTGTGTCCGCAGTCTCTGGTCATCTCCTGTACTGTGTCCGCAGTCTCTGGTCATCTCCTGTACTGTGTCCGCAGTCTCTGGTCATCTCCTGTACTGTGTCCGCAGTCTCCGGTCATCTCCTGTACTGTGTCCGCAGTCTCCGGTCATCTCCTGTACTGTGTCCGCAGTCTCCGGTCATCTCCTGTACTGTGTCCGCAGTCTCTGGTCATCCCCTGTACTGTGTCCGCAGTCTCTGGTCATCTCCTGTACTATGTCCGCAGTCTCTGGTCATCTCCTGTACTGTGTCCGCAGTCTCTGGTCATCTCCTGTACTATGTCTGCAGTCTCTGGTCATCCCTGTACTGTGTCCGCAGTCTCTGGACATCTCCTGTACTGTGTCCGCAGTCTCTGGTCATCTCCTGTACTGTGTCCGCAGTCTCTGGTCATCTCCTGCACTGTCCACAGTCTCTGGTCATCTCCTGTACTATGTCCGCAGTCTCTGGACATCTCCTGTACTATGTCCGCAGTCTCTGGTCATCTTCTGTACTATGTCCGCAGTCTCTGGTCATCTCCTGTACTGTGTCCGCAGTCTCTGGTCATCCCCTGTACTATGTCTGCAGTCTCTGGTCATCTCCTGTACTATGTCTGCAGTCTCTGGTCATCTCCTGTACTGTGTCTGCAGTCTCTGGTCATCTCCTGTACTATGTCCGCAGTCTCTGGTCATCTCCTGTACTGTGTCCGCAGTCTCTGGTCATCTCCTGTACTGTGTCCGCAGTCTCTGGTCATCTCCTGTACTGTGTCCGCAGTCTCTGGTCATCTCCTGTACTGTGTCTGCAGTCTCTGGTCATCCCTGTGCTGTCCGCAGTCTCTGGTCATCCCTGTACTGTGTCCGCAGTCTCCGGTCATCTCCTGTACTGTGTCCGCAGTCTCCGGTCATCTCCTGTACTGTCCGCAGTCTCCGGTCATCTCCTGTACTATGTCCGCAGTCTCTGGTCATCCCCTGTACTGTGTCTGCAGTCTCTGGTCATCCCTGTGCTGTCCGCAGTCTCTGGTCATCTCCTGTACTGTGTCTGCAGTCTCTGGTCATCCCTGTGCTGTCCGCAGTCTCTGGTCATCCCTGTACTGTGTCCGCAGTCTCCGGTCATCTCCTGTACTGTGTCCGCAGTCTCTGGTCATCCCTGTACTGTCCGCAGTCTCCGGTCATCTCCTGTACTATGTCCGCAGTCTCTGGTCATCTGTACTATGTCCGCAGGCTCTGGTCATCTCCTGTACTGTGTCCGCAGTCTCTGGACATCTCCTGTACTATGTCCGCAGTCTCCGGTCATCTCCTGTACTGTGTCCGCAGTCTCTGGTCATCTCCTGTACTGTCCGCAGTCTCTGGTCATCCCTTGTACTATGTCTGCAGTCTCTGGTCATCTCCTGTACTATGTCCGCAGTCTCTGGTCATCTGTACTATGTCCGCAGGCTCTGGTCATCTCCTGTACTATGTCCGCAGTCTCCGGTCATCTCCTGTACTGTGTCCGCAGTCTCTGGTCATCTCCTGTACTGTCCGCAGTCTCTGGTCATCCCTTGTACTATGTCTGCAGTCTCTGGTCATCTCCTGTACTATGTCCGCAGTCTCTGGTCATCCCTGCACTGTCCGCAGTCTCTGGTCATCTCCTGTACTGTGTCCGCAGTCTCTGGTCATCTCCTGTACTGTGTCCGCAGTCTCTGGTCATCCCTGTACTGTCCGCAGTCTTTGGTCATCTCCTGTACTATGTCCGCAGTCTCTGGTCATCCCTGTACTGTCCGCAGTCTCTGGTCATCCCTGTACTATGTCCGCAGTCTCTGGTCATCCCTGTACTGTCCGCAGTCTCTGGTCATCCCTGTACTATGTCCGCAGTCTCTGGTCATCCCTGTACTATGTCCGCAGTCTCTGGTCATCCCTGTACTGTCCGCAGTCTCTGGTCATCCCTGTACTATGTCCGCAGTCTCTGGTCATCCCTGTACTATGTCCGCAGTCTCTGGTCATCTCCTGTACTATGTCCGCAGTCTCTGGTCATCCCTGTACTATGTCCGCAGTCTCTGGTCATCTCCTGTACTATGTCCGCAGTCTCTGGTCATCCCTGTACTATGTCCGCAGTCTCTGGTCATCTCCTGTACTGTGTCTGCAGTCTCTGGTCATCTCCTGTACTATGTCCGCAGTCTCTGGTCATCTCCTGTACTATGTCCGCAGTCTCTGGTCATCTCCTGTACTATGTCCGCAGTCTCTGGTCATCCCTGTACTATGTCCGCAGTCTCTGGTCATCTCCTGTACTGTGTCCGCATCCAATACATTTCTGCACCCGGCAGGACACATCTCCTGTCCATCATCTGTATATTTATTGGTTTTTGCCTGGAAATCTATTGATTTTAAAGCTGAACTCCGACCTTCCCAGCAGTTGTATGGTCTCCTCTCCTGTACAGAAATGACTTCACTGTGAGCTCTCCACACTGTGCATTGGAAGCTGCAGCATGTCAGATACATCCTTTTTCATTTTCTGGCTGGAGGATGTCCGGCATCATCTAGCCCTTATCTCCCAAGCCCACCTGTCTTTTGCGTCCTTTTTTTATTAATTGGATTTCAGTTCTTTCAGTCGTGAAGGTTCAACATCATATGTGGGCGTTACCATAGGGTGTCTTCAGGAAGCTACATACAGCACCCCAAGAGCCATGATCTGCCTGCTATGCATAGGGAAGCACAGAGGCCTAGTGATGATGTCATTGGATCCAACATTGGTTAAGCAATGAAACAGTAAAGGTTTTTATTTCATAATTTCATTAGCAAATTGATGAGGTGGGGGGGGGGGGGGGGGGACAGGAACCTTCTGAATTTCCTGTCTGAACGACATCCAGCACCATTTAGCACTTTGCTCCCCAGCCTGACTGTCTCTGGCCCCCCCCCTTTAATTCACCGAATTTCAGTTCTTCCAGTCCTGGAGGCTCAGCATCACATTTGAGTGTTACCACAGTTTCCTGTCCACATAAAGCTATTAACAGCAGCTCGCAAGACCCTCACATCAGCCATGATCTGCCTGCCTTACATAGAGAAGCACAGAGACCTAGTGATGATGTCACTGGATCACACATTGGGTATTGAAAACAGAAAGGTTTATTTAATAACTTCATCACCACAGATGGGCATTACCACAGCTTCCTGTCTTCAGAAAGCTAAGTACAGCATCCTGCCAGCCCCTCCCATCAATGATCTGCCTGCCTTGCATAGAGAAGCACAGAGACCTAGTGATGATGTCACTGGATCGAGCATTGGGTATTGAAAACAGAAAGCTTTATTTAATAACTTAATTAGCATATTAAGTGGCAGGGGACAGGAACCTGATCTAGCTTGCCTCATTTATAGGACATACAGCATCATTTAGCCCTTTTTTTCCTAGCCTGACTGTCTCTGACTCTCCCCTTTTGGTTGGTTCTAACAGTCACGGAGCTTCATCACCACAGATGGGCATTACCACAGCTTCCTGTCTTCAGAAAGCTAAGTACAGCATCCTGCCAGCCCCTCCCATCAGCCATGATCTGCCTGCCTTGCATAGAGAAGCACAGAGACCTAGTGATGATGTCACTGGATCAAACATTGGGTATTGAAAACAGAAAGGTTTATTTAATAACTTAATTAGCATATTAAGCGGCGGGGGACAGGAATCTGATAGAGCTTGCCTCATTTATAGGACATCCAGCATCATTTAGCTCTTTTTCCTAGCCTGACTGTATTTGACCCTCCCCTTGTGGTTCTAACAGTCATGGAGCTTCATCACCACAGGTGGGCATTACCACAGCTTCCTGTCTTCAGAAAGCGAGGTACAGCATCCTGCCAGCCCCTCCCATCAGGCACGATCTCCCTGCCTTGCATAGAGAAGCACAGAGACCTAGTGATGATGTCACTGGATCAAACATTGGGTATTGAAAACAGGTTTATTTAATAACACAATTAGCATATTAATTGGTGGGGGGAGAGGAACATGATAGAGCTTGCCTCATCCTGCCAGCCCCTCCCATCAGCCATGATCTGCCTGCCTTGCATAGAGAAGCACAGAGACCTGATGTGATGTCATGTCACTGCATCCAACACTGGGTATGTAATGAAAACAGAAAGGTTTTATTTAATAACTTCATTAGCAAGATTGATGAGAGGGGGAAAGGAAGAACCAGGGGAGGCAAAATATAAGCAGATTAAACCCCAGCTTCACGGAATTTACATTGGATTATACGGCGGTCGTTCTGCCTGGAGTCCGGCTTCAGCCGGAGGACCAAATTGGCATTCCATAAGTGAAAATAATGGGCACAAGTATCCTTCCTCCTCCCGTCACAGCCCAACGAGAGGCAGACAGTAGCAGGAAGACGAAGGGAATTTTCTAATAACTCCGACAAGCATTTTCCGATGGAGACGGGTAATTGCGAAGCAGCTGCCCGCGGTGCCCCCCCCCCCCTGCTGGCTCTATTGAAGTCATTAGTTCAGGCTAAGTTTCTGCAAGGCACAGCAAATACACGGAGTGGACAGGAGGAGGGAGCGCGGGGAGCACCGGGGCTGGCCAAGCTTTTAAAGTTCAAGTTCACCTTCGTCATAGTCCATCTTCTGTATGCCTTGATTTTCCCCAGACATATTAAAAAAACAAAACAAAAAAAAAAACTTTACCACCCCCTACCTTTCAAGTGCTGTAGTGCAGCATTTAGGGGGTTAAAGATTTAAAGATGATCACCTCCTCACCACCTGTCCAATTCCTCTAAAAAGCGATCCGAACGCAGATTGCTTTTCAGAAGTGCACCCGTCCCTGCCGCCAGTGTAGACAAGCCCTTTTGAATTTTTCCAGGTGGTGATCAGCAATGACACCTTCGTATTGTTGTCCATGCAGTGTGTGTCCGAGATCGCGCACCCGTCAAATTTTAACACGCGGCCGTGCAGCCGTTGCGTCTGCATTCGCTTCCATGGGCTGCCTGCACGCAGCCTGGGGTGGATGCAGGTGTGAAAACACAGAGCCTTAGTCACGCAGGGCAGGTGCCAGTGCCCATCTAAAGGATGCCCAACAGCCAATCAGATATGATGTTTGCCGCAACGAACATATAACAATTGTTTATATATATACCACCATTTGTAAACGCTATAACTTTCACGTAAACCAATTAATGTACACGTATTGGGATTTTTTTTAGCAAAGACATGGAGCAGAATACATTTTGGCCTAATTTTATGACAAAATTAGATTTAAAAAATTTTTTTATTGGACAGGTTCTATAGCCAGATGGCAGCCAGGTGAACACCTCATCCCTCCGGGAGGATGCCATATGGCATCCTTTTCGAAGAGTGCACTGCGCATGCCCGCAGGGCCGCGCTGCAGCGCGATCTGTCACCGGCCGTGTACCTCGGACACGGCCGATGACAGATCTGTGACCAATCACAGCCAGTCACATCATGCCATCCATTGTATACAAGTGTGTCTAGCTCTGAATGGTCACAGCGATCACATGCACAAGCTGGGCCAATCACAGCCCAGCTGTGTCATGTGATTAGCCGTGGCCAAATCACAGTTAATCACAAAAAAAAAAAAAAACCTGAATGAATCGATGTCATTCAGGTAAATGCTTGCTTATAGCAAAGTAATTCTTTGCTATAAGCAAGTTATGTAAACAAAAAAAAAAAAAATACTGATCACTTCCCCAGAGTAGTACAATGTTACTATGGTAACATTGTACTACTTTGGTCATAGTGAAATATGAAAAAACTATCTTTCAAAAAAAGAGAAAAAAAATGTAATAAAAAGAATAAAAAAAAAAAAAAAATTATCAATTTTTTTTTTCGTACTGTCACCAGTCAGTGACCCTGATCATCGCCATGGTGGTTATATGATGACACTGTACTGCACTGATGACAGTATGTAGAAAAAAAACTAGCGAAAATCATTTTTTTAATTTCTTCATTTTCCAAAAAATTACAAAAAAAATTACAACTTCAAAAAACTCGCCATGCCTCTTATGAAGTACGTCGGACTGTCTACTTTGCAAAAAGGGGTCATTTGGGGGATATCTGTACTATTCTGACATTCTTGGACCTCAAGAAATGAGATTGGCTGTCAGTACTTCAGGACTGATCAATATTCAGATCTATACCATAGTTTGTGAACTCTATAACTTTCCTACAAACAAAATAATACATCCTAATTTGGGTTATTTTCACCAAAGACATGTAGCAGAATACATCTCAGCCTAAATTTATGAAGAACAATTATTTATTTGCAAACTTTTATAACAGAAACAAAGAAAAACGTGTTTATTTTTCAAATTTTTCGGTCTTTTTTTTTAATTTAGCAAAAAATAAAAACCCCAGCGGTGATTAAATACCACCAAAAGAAAGCTCTAGTTGTGTGAAGAAAATGATAACATTTTAGTTTGGGTACAATGTTGTATGACCGCGCAATTGTCATTCAAAGTGTGAGAGCGCTGAAACCTGAAAACTGGCCTGGGCAGGAAGGGGGGAAAAGTGGCCGGTATGCAAGCAGTTAATAACAAAAAGTCAAAAATATTGTTTTTTTTTCTTCTCAAAATTGTCAGTCTTTTCTTATTCATAGCACAGAAAATTAAAAATGCACAGGCGATCAAATACCACAGAAAGAAAGCTCCATTTGTGGGGGAAAAAAAAGGATGTAAATTTTCATTTGGGCGCATTGTTGCATGACCGTGCAGTTAAAGTAACGCAGCGCCGTAACGCAAAAAATGGTCTGGTCAGGAAGGAGGGGTAAATCTTCTAGAGGGCGAGGGGTTAACCAAAAATAAAAAGTTTAGATATTCTTCAATCCCTTTGAGAATGTAACTAAATCAAGGGAAGAGTTGCCATATGCCTGACCTAAAATTGTCATGTAATCACATGTACCTAGCAGTAAAGGTGTGGATATACCATTAAAATTGAAATATACCTAAAAACCTAATTTATAATTTTTAAATTTTTATTTTTATAGAGTAAGGATAGGTTATAACTCCAGGCAGTTTTTGTGCCCCATTGGGGGGGGGTTGGGAGATTTCCTTTCACTTCCTGTTCCATAGGGTTGGGAGACTTCCTTTCACTTCCTGTTCCATAGGGTTGGGAAAGTTCCTTTCACTTCCTGTTCCATAGGGTTGGCAGATTTCCTTTCACTTCCTGTTCTATAGGGTTGGGAGATTTCCTTTCACTTCCTGTTCCATAGGGTTGGCAGATTTCCTTTCATTTCCTGTTCTATAGGGTTGGGAGATTTCCTTTCACTTCCTGTTCTATAGGGTTGGGAGATTTCCTTTCACTTCCTGTCCATTGGGTTGGGAGAGTTCCTTTCACTTCCTGTTCCATAACCAAAACAGGAAGTGAAATGAAATCCCTGTGACGAGAGGGAATCCCTGGTTGTCACCAGAACTAGTGTCCCCATGCTAACATTTCCTCTCTGTTTATACCCGGGCACTATCCATTTTCTCTCTCTCAGTGATGACGGCAAACAATGTGAATAGAGAAGCGCAGACAGCAATAAAA